TCGTCACTGGTCTCAAAGGCTTAAAAACCGCTTAGTCGGGAGGAGTGCTGGGGTTTTGAAAGTCACAATCCATTCTAAAGTGACGGACGTCAGTAAACATTCAGAAATGTGCTGAGTCACACCTAAAAGGAGTACCAAATCCTTTTGTTTTTTTTTCAAACCCCTTTTGCCAAAAATCATTGTGTGGGTTATATCTAATTGGAATAAACTCAGGTTTGTTAATTGAGTGACCGGATGAATTTAATATTCACGAAGGCGGAAAAAATATAAACATAAGTGACACTTATTGCCCACTTTGTGATTAAAAAAACCCAAACTAGACGGCTTCTTAAAATCTGGAAGAAGAATCTTCTAACCCGAAGGACAATGTGATGCCACACCATTAAGTTAAGAAAAGAATGGAAAAGAATGTCTTTGTCATCTTGTTTCCCATTGCCACTGTGATATGTTACTGGGCTTACTTTATTTTGAAAGACATTAATTAGGAAACATGACGTTTGATGGGACAGTTTAGGTGCTACTTTATAGATAGCTATAATACCAAAGTTAAAAATGGAGGACTGTCCTAAAGGTCTCTGAGTAACCTAAATAGTGTTTATAGTTGCATAAAAACACTTTTTTTTTTTATTTTTTATTTAATTCTTGTTATTTTTATTTATTGCTTGTGTTGTTTTTTTTTTGTATGTTTTATTTTGTGTTTTTTATTTTTTATTTTGTATTATGTTTTATGGTTTTATGTTGAGTTTGGAGGTTTCATTTATTTTTTTTGGGTTATGGTACTCCGCTGGTTTCTTGTTTTAGGTTCGGTGGGGGCTGAGTTATTTTCTTCTTTTTAATTATGTGTGTATTGTTTTTTTCTTTGGTTTGGTGTTTGGTTGGTATTTTATATGATAGTGACTTTTTATTTGCTGTGTTTTGGTATATTTGATTTATTCTAGATATTGAATTTTTGTGGGTTTGAGGTTTGTTTACTTTTAGTTTATTGATGTTTGACGTACTTTTGTGGTGTGATTTCATTGTGGTTTTAGCTTTGGCAGTGATTAGTGATTTGTGGGTGAAATGAAGTTTTGGTCGTGTTTGTTAGTGTTATTTTGACGGGAGCAGTGATTTTTAATGATTTCATAGAGACAGTCTGGATGTGTTTTTGATGGTTGTTTTTTATTGTTTTGAAGCTTGTATGTATAGGGAGATTAAATATTTGTTTCTTTTTTATGTGTTGCGTTTGGATATTTTCTTTGTGTTAAAGGAGGGGGGGGGGGTGTCGGATGAATATTGAAGGTGTTGAATTGAGGAAAGTTGCTGGGAAAAGGAGTTTCCACCCAATGGACACCACATTTAATGTTGTCAAAGGGAACGTGGATACTTTTGTGTAATGTGAAGGTTGTTACAGTTTTTGATTTTGTTGTGTGAATTTTGTTTTTGAAAGATTTTTATTTGTCATTGTCTCAATGATTAGATAAGATTTGTTTTTTTTGATGAATTTAGGGTATATGATTTTTTTTTTTTTCAATTTTGTATATTTTACATTAATTTTAAATTTGTAATGCATGGATGTGTTAGTGTTGAAATATACTGACGTGAATTTTAAAGTATTGATATGATACAATGAGTAAAATGAATGGAGATAATTAAGTGCAAGTATAATGACAGAGGTGAAGTTACGTATGTATATTATTTATTATAAAGATGAAATGTATCTTTTTTACTTGTAAGGACTTAGTGTGATAGAGATGATATGTATTACAGTCAGATAGTTACTGGTAGTACATGTGTGAGATGAGGAGGGGGCGAAACATGAAGCATATAAATAAGGTTATGAACATAGCTCGTTATGCACGGAATTGAGTTGAATTTGTTTTAACTAAAGATAAGGAAAAATCAAATGAAAGTTCAATTGTGTGATGTAACTTTAAGTAAGGTGAAATTAATGTATTATTTTCAAAGGGCTGTTAAGTTATTATGGATTTGATGGTAGGAGGAAAACATCATCTTTTAAATGACTGTGATGGTTACATGTAAATAAATAATGAAATCTTGAGTAGTATGTAGCGAACCGATGTTAGCTTAGAGGGGCAGGTGTTGGGCTAACAGGGGTCAAAGTGAATAAAACAACATGGATGAAAAATTTTTTTTTTTGTTTGTTTTTAGCATGTATTGAAATGAAGAATAATAATTATAATATCACAATTTGTATTTTTCATGAGTATCTTAATGTCATCAAATCATAAATTTTAGTGTATGAGAATATTGTATTACGGTATATTTTATATAAAGTTTAAAGTATGAGTTAGTGAAAGGACAGTTGTGAAGTTAATGAACTGTTGTTATAATATTATTTCTGAATGCTGAATTTTTTGGGATTTTTATTCTGACACTCAATTTTGCAGGAAGATTATTGTGGCTGTTAAAGTAAGCTTGGTGGATGAGTAAATATAGCAATTCAATGGAAGAGCTTCAGTAAGTAATTGAGATCTTTAAACTTTGTTTTCATCAATTATCTATGTTAGAGAGATATGTTATTTAAATGTTAATGAATGTGTATAATTCAACTTCAATCTAATCCATATGGCTCCATATATCATGCAATTTGCTGTCTCCTTATCACTTTGTTTAGAGAAGTGTTGAGTATTGTATTAGATATTCTACTCATCTGATGACTGTGGAGCAGTGGAGTAATGAAACTTGTCTGGTCATCTATATGCCAGCTTAAATGTATGTGGTGTTCAAGTGGCAACTAATGAATTTTGCTTTTTTTTTTTTTTTTTTTGGTGGATATTGGGTAAATGTAGTCACATGTCGTTAGATATGAGTTATGTTTAAGTAAAATATGGGGGATATTTGGTATTTAGAGATATGGAAGCAATAGATGTGATGATATCATAATAGGTGGCGACGTTTAGGAGTGGTTTTTTAAATTATATGCGTTAAGATTATATAGCTTAAAGAGTAATCGTGTAACTTCACTCATAGAGTCGAAATTTTCTGAAAATGTCAGGCATTTTTGGTGAAGAAAGAAACTTCACGTCTGAAGAATGGAGGTGTTGTTTGTTATTTTAACAGATTTCGAGATTAGAGATGTATATTCTTAGGTTTTAATTTTTTATGCTTATGAGTGTCATTTATCATTAGCATGGGGGGCAGTCAGCTTGGACGTGATAATTGATTATGTAACGAGAGCTGCATTTGTGTTTGTTTAGAGATGAAATTGCGTATTGAGAATGGTAGTGTATATTCTAGGGAGAGTCAGTATGTCTGTGGTTAATTATTCAATTTATTGACGAAACTGAATTCATTATTCATCTTATTATGTGAATTATTTTATGGGTTTAATTACTTATATCACAGAATTAAATCTTAAGTCAGATAGTTGGTAGTGGAAACAGGGAGAGTTTATGAGAATTGGTTGTGTTACTTTTAATGTCTGTATTTATATCTCTTAATGTGCATTTGTATCCTGTGCTAATGGTATATTATTCTAGTTTTTTAATTGTCGGACAATTTAGTCTGCCTTTATTTTCTCTTATCCACGGCTAGATATTTTATTAGTTAGTTCGTTTTACAGCGAAAAGTGAAGAGGAAGAGGATCTGATGGTGGTTGTAAGGGACATTTTCCGTTGTACTCTAACGTGTTTTATGTGATTTATCTAGTTGACTGC